CAAAACCCTTGCAAGATGGGTGGTTTCGCAGAAGAACGATGGATGAAGAAGATGAACAATGAACCTGTGCTAAAAGGACTCATTGGAAGTTCAACACTTGAAGGCCTTCAAAACATGTGGAAAGTAAGAACACCCCTTTGTAGCTAGAGGAAACTAAATGAAATTCCAGTCATGCGGATGATTCCAGCTTGGCTTTTGATCTCACGGGATGTCTTATGTCAGGAATCCTTGGAATGCTTTCAAGGAGCAACTTCAAATCGTGTCACAATTGGGAACAAGTGGCTGATCCTTCAAAGTTTAAACATATTGCTCAACAAAAAACACCGGGGACTGGGTAAGAGCAAAGAGTAGGGACGGGACCAGGTGAGTCTCTCCTTGCTCCTCCCAAACCCTCCCCTCGTCCCTGCCATCAGAACCCAATTCCCTACACTTTAGCTTCTCTGATCTAAAGAGATAATTGTCAGGTGAAGCTCACAGGTCCCGTCAACATGCTCAATTTGGTCTCTCACATTCGTTTCTTTTGGCCAAGTCTTGAAACTTTGTTTTTAGTTTTTGTGTGGGACATGACATGAATCACTAGTGAAGCCTCTGAACTCTAGTCAAATCCGGTGGGAACCGAAGCTTCCGCTTGCCTCGCTGAAGGTGAGCAAGAGCTGGTGCCCCAGGCACCGCGTGAGCTGACGCAGCAGCGCTTTGGGCCCCGGCGCCCGGTTGTGGCCCCCGTACCTCGAGCCGTTCGACCCGATGTGAAGGCGAAGCATGGCGAAGCTGGCTTCTGCCTCGTCTCCCTTTCTCCCTGCAAAAGGGCGGCTTGACCTGGTGTGGAGCTGGGGTGGTTTCCCATCCACCCACTACAAGAACCAGGGGTTCAAAGGTCCAACCCCCAACCTGATTGCTGCTCGTTTATGTTTAACCCCCAACTATACAACTGGGTTGGTCAAAAAGGTAGGATCCAGGGACCAACTGACTAGGTTGTTTTAAATGGGAAAATCGAATGCGAACCTTGCGTGGGTGGTTGGCTGATGGTCCATAGAAACCGACGTCGTCTGAATTCCTTCTATGGGTTACGAAGCAGGGGGGGCCCCCTAATCCTTGCTTTTCATCTGCAGTGGAGTGGGAACTACCATCTGGCATCGGAACCAAGGATGGATTTTGAAAAACTGTAGACTGATCTGACAAAGCTAGTCTGATTTGGGGGAAATTGAAATTCAAGTCGAATGGTTCACACACAACCAGAAAAGGCTGTTGGAGCCTTCTGAAAAGGCGGTGCGTGCAACAGAAAAGAAGAGAACCGTTCCTCTGTTAGGGGTCCAATGCCGCTGCCAATATCAGAAGATGAACATCAACCGACAACACAAATACCTCGAAAAGTAAATCGGGCACACACGGCAAACGTGGCTATCTCAGCCACTCACTCACAGCTCTAATTACGGAAGGAATGTCCGGGGATTGAACACGACATGTGACTTGCAGTGCATTTTCTCTGTTCTGGGGGAACGCCAAAAACACCCGCTCACCGACTCACCAACTCACACACACACACACACACCACCCGAGCCCACACCGCACCACACCACAACGCGCCACATCACTGCCACACCACACCATGCCAAGACCTCACACACACACAAACACACACACACACACACACAAGCACACACACACACAAAAACACACAAACACACAAACACACACACACACAAAAAACACAGGCACAAAAACAGACGCAAACACGGACACGGACACAGATACAGACACGGCACACACACACACACACACACACACACACACACACACACACACACACACACACACACACACACACACACACACACACACACACACACACACACACACACACACACACACACACACACGCACGCGCACACACACACACACACGCAAAACACACAAACACACAAACACACAAACACAAAAGCACACAAAAGCACACAAAAGCACAAAGACACAAACACAAACAAACACACACACACACACACAGACACACAGACACACAGACACGCAGACACGCAAACACACAGACACACAGACACACAGACACACAAACACAAACACAAACACAAACACAAACACAGACAAACACGCACACACACACACACCCACACGCACATGCACACGCAAACGCGCACACACAAAAGCACACACACACACACACGCACAGGCACACACAGACACGGACACAGACACAGACACAGCCACAGACACAGACACAGACACACACACAAACACGCTTCACAAGGAGTACAATGTCGAATTACTGTCACGAGAGAAAAAAAAAGGGAGCTTACCTCGACTGAGGATCGCAGCGCAGGCAATGAGCAAATCGAAGTGGTCAAAGGATGCAAAGACTGAACATCAAGGTACCATCTGTTTGATAGAGCTTTTCGGCCAGTAAGCGCTCGGACAAATCCAAAGCCACGCCCCTATGTAAGCAGTGATCGCCATTTACAGCAACGGCACGAATTGCGGCACGCTGAACCTCCAATGTGCTTCGGAACGTATGAAACTTGACAAGCTTTGGGACACCTTTGTTTTGACGCAGGTTTCTTCTTGGTTTCTCAGGAACAAAAACAACACATCCACCACAAAAGGGAGGCAGGCGAGTCCGGAAGCGCAGAATTTGCAGGTTAGCCGCTCCATAAGACCCGACTAAATTGGAACGTAGCAAGTGGTGTAGGGCAGCACAATCACATACTCCCTGCAAACTAACATGAAACCCAAAAAGGGCCTGGGGTACCGGGAGATTCCTCTAATTGACCATGAAGGCATCTTGAGGTCCATGGTACTCTGCAGGGTGGTCGCTGGCTGGAAACCCCAATCTTCCCAGCAAGCGATGCCAGGGTGCGGGTAGCAACACACTGGGCAGGAGGGAGGTGCCCCGCCCTGCGTGGTTCGGCGGTGGTACCTCAGGTTCCATGTACCATGTGGAATGCCCGGCCCCTGAGTGTGATTGCCCCTGAATGTGCTCGACAAGAGATTCCAAGGAAGCTAGGCAGTCGGAAGTGCCCCACCCTCGACCCACAACGCATTTGGCACGTTCCCCACGCTCCTGGTTTGGCCTCGCGGGTGACAAACTCGAGCCATGCAAACAATCAAAGGCGTCGTAATCAACACCGGGCAACAGAATCGAATGGGCGGAGATCCGCACCTATTTCTGTTGCCGAAACACCACAAAGGGAAAAAGGCTGCCAACCAGGCTTGGGCAAAAGTCGACCCTTGCCACCTGAAACGGAGAAAACCAGCGAGGTGGCTTAGACAGAAATATGTTGTTGACAAAGCAGTGGTGCCTAGATCATCCATCTGAACATTCCCCCAAAATGGTGGGTTCCTTTTGGTCTGGTGGTATCCAGCTAATTTGAATGGCGAAAGCCCCAACCCAAAACGGGCTCCCCAATCCTGGTCCGCAATCCATAGACACCACCATTTGGAGGATTCAGGATTGAGTCTTTTTCCCAAGTTGCTACAATAGCTGTTGTAAAATCAGGCGCAACACCTTCTTGCTGTTGTTTTTTTTAAAATGCCCCTTAAAACCGCACCAAGGAGGGTACCCGCAAAAAAACAAACAAACAGCCAAACCCAAGACACGGAGCCGAGGCACTGCACCCAGGCCTCCACACAGGAGGCGTGCACTCCGCCCATGGAGCCACGACACCGACACGGCTGCACGAGGGGCTCCTCCGAATGTGGATCCCGGCAGATCCAGCACTCCAGCAGCTCCGTCCTGCCCACCACGTTGACCCATTAGTGAGTGTTTCACAAAGAAACCCCTTTGGGTGGATTTTTCAAGACACAGCGGCCCGAACCACATCGTTGGCCCCCGTTTTTTTGCTTAACGAAGCAGGGACCTGTTTGGGGTGGTGTTTTTGGTGACCCATTTTGCTTCGAGCGGCTGCCCAAAACGGAGGGACGCCTTTTGGTAGTAAGGGCATAATGGCTCAGAAACCCTTTGTAGACCTTGTTTTGGGTCATGCGGCTTCCCGGTAAGAGGGGCACCTCTTGGGCGATTGGAAGGGCAAGAAACCCTTCGTTAACTCGTGTCAAGCAGTAGCTGTTGCTGAAAGCAGAACAACCCCTTTGGTGCTTGAAATAATCACACGAACAGGCGGAAAATCCACGGTGGGTGGTGCCAAATCTCACATGCTCTTGGAGGGTGTGGCTTCCCGAAAGCAAACACGTTAAAAGTCCTACTCATAATGATTCGTGTGGAGGTTTACAGGGATGTTGGGAAACAAATACATCTCTATCCCTTTGTGCTACCCTTGAGGAGAATAAAGAAGTACGGGGTCAGAAGTAAAACTTCTTGTTGATTCGGGGACTCCCAAAGTCCCGACGGCTTGAAAAGGCTTGGGGTCGCACAAAAGAGGAATCCTAGCTAGTGGTCAAATCCAACCTACACGCAGTCAACTTCTCTCCACCTGCAACAGCATCCAACTCTGCTGCACTGCAAGAGTCCTGCCAGCCATGTCCATGGCCGCAATTTCCCTCACATCGGAGCCACCTACTTTTGAGCCAGGTGGCTGCGAGCTTAAGCCCTTCAGCCCAGGGAAACTGCAGCTGAGTGCGAGGCACATTTGTTTCTGGTTGCACCTGCAAACCTGGCTCCAGCCAAAGGGCTGTGTTACTTCCTCTTTTTTTTCCGGAAAAATTGGCGCATGCAAGGCTTCCCCGGCAAACCACCCCCAAATCACTATTGAAGGAGACACAGGAGAAAATATACATGCATGTGTAGCCATTGCATGAAAGGTATGCGCCCTATTTTCCCTTTGGGCTGGTGGTTGGGGGGGAGGGGGTAGCGGGTGCAAAAGACAGAAACCGGCTTCAATCAAAAAGCCTATGGTAAGCTACACGAAAACCAAGTAGATTCCCTATAACGGGCCGCTTTTTACTGGGGTACCACTTATTACTCAGTACGACTCTGAGAAGCTTCAGACAAGCTGCACTGGAAAAGAAAAAACACAACGTGCAAAACGGGCCCTAGCCTGAAGCTCCCACTCTTGAAGTCCACGCAGGATTTGGCGCAAAGCCTCACAATCAAGAAGAAGCGCAAGCCGATGGAAAGCTACTTGGAGACGCAGACTGGTACAACGGCAACCCGGGTTGCCGAAGCATTGAAACAAATCCCGGGAAACTCCCGTTGCGCCTCAAAGTAATTCAAAGGAGCCAATACAAACTTGGCAATGCATCTTACAGATTCAACATCCTGACGGAATCTATATATACTATGATTCCTGTGCGGTGGAGACATGTGGGCATGTGTTAAAATAAGGGGCGCCAACAAATTGCAGCTTGCCTTTTGTTTCACTTTGAGCCAAGGTGAGGGGAGAACCCTACAACCAGCATACACCCATGGCCTGGCACGCTCGATCTCCGGCCAGCTCCTGCGACGGGTTTGGTCCTACTGAGTACCAGCAAACGGTGGCTTCCCATGGTTTCAAAGTGCAGGAGTTCGTCCATCTACAGTAGGAGTCAACCATTTTGTGTAGCTCGTACTCACACAAAGTCATCACTTTGGCCATAAGCGTCCGGCAAGTTCATGTATTGACCACTCGTTGAAGGCCTTCGGCTGCGTCATTTTGAGCTCAAATGTGATTCTCACATCGGGGACATCCACATAGCTTGCTGAAGGCCGTTGTATGGAACCATCCAGTCAAATGCGCGCATAGTGGCTCCCCTGTTTAAAGGGAGAAGCCGGTAACAGTTGTACTTGTTTCTTGAAAATCACCCCAGTTGCTACCGATCAGGGCACTTGAATGCGTGAATCTACTTTCCCCATCGTCAGCTTGACATTGTCAATGCTGCTCTCTGCTGAAGGATGAATTAGGGCGGACAACCATCGATCGCCCGAACGATTTCATCAACGGGCACTGACACAACATCATGTCATGATGTCTTGTTGAGCAGCCAAAACAATGATTCCTCCTTATAATGACTCACTAGGTACTTAACAACATCCACTATACACACACACATTACACGTTTGTTTACTAGAGCGGGGAACACATTGATGCAAATTTGATCCTGTCAATGCGTTGCCTTTGAATCGAGGTCTGGATGGTCTTGGGGGGCTCTTCGCCAATCGCCCCGACCCAGTCTCCTGCCATCCAGGTCAGGCCCCAGCATGTCCTTCCGGAATGCTCATTGTGAACAACCATCTCGCAGTCAGCTTGCAAGGCTCGCTGCACTTTGGCTCCAACATTCTGTCTGCTGGATACCGTCTGGCCCGTCTAGCCGTTCCCCGTCCTTGGGCCATGCCATGGTGGCACCTAGGGTGGCACCCTACGAACTACCCGCATCCCGAGCACTGTGCGAAGCCAAAAGGCAGCGATGGAAGAGACTTCAGGGGGGTTGCTTCGAGCTCTTCGCAGCTTAGGTCGTTGCTCAGATTTTTGTTGCCTGTCTGGTCTTCCGGCCCTGCAAATCAACAAATCAGCAAGAGTGTGTGTGCGGTACCCCAAAGCAAGATTGATCCAAACATGGTCTGTAGGGATCCATGTTACTCAGGCAACAAGCCCTGCACTCACTTTTCTCCTATCGACTCTCAGAGCTCAGACCGCCAGCCGCGGCGCAGGGCATGGACCCGCGCCAAGTCCTCAGCTGGATGTTGGGAAAAACCAATCACCTCCTTTTGTTTGCTTGCTTTTTTTTTGGGGGGGGGGCTGGGCAAGTTGGGATCCTTTGTGCTGGAATTGTCTTGGGATGCTTGGAGTTGCAAGAGAAACCTTTCCAACAAGAAAAACAACAGGAGAAATCACACCGCTGGGATGGGAGTCCGCCATGTAGTCGTTGCTGCTGCGGCCGTAGGAGGAATCCACCGCCTTCAGCAGCCACTCCTTGGCCTTCGCGGAGTCCGCCTTGGCCTCAACCAAAAGAAAGGAAAACACGGGGGAAAAACAAACGATACGGGGTCTTGTCTCTTTTTTTTGGGTGGGGGGGGAATGGCCTCATCCATGTTGGTTGACCGGCAATCGTCCGAATTCCATCCTACGGGGTCTATACCAAAACCATGAATCGAAATGGAGGATATCCGCATGTGGGACAAATGCCCCCTTTGGCTGTCACCCTTTGCCATTTGCATTCCGGGCTTGGGAAAAAGCCCTTAGCTCGGGCTGTGAGAAGTCTGGGCCACTGAAAACGACCTTGCCTCATAGAAAAGGCCCAAGTACAAGGACGCATAGAAGCAGTCGGATCCAGATCTCTCTGCGAGGTTCTCCATGGTCTCCAGGTACTTCCCGTCATCATCGCCCCGAAACAAGGCGTAGGCGTTTCGCATCACGGGCCTGGGGTCCTGGCCCACGGTCAGCATCTGCTTCCGCGCCTGGTCGAAGCCTTGCATCTTGGCTTCGCAGAGAAAGGCCCAAATCGACTCTTCGGTGTCGTTGGGGTTCAGGTCCACATCCTGAATCGGGCAAAGCACTCACTTCCGTTGATTGGCAGAGAACTTTGGGTTTGCCACTCAAACTGCCTTCCCAAACAGCATCAAGTCCAGGAACTGAGGAGGTTGTTTACGGTTCTTTCAGAAACAGTGGCTTCATTCTAAGCAAACGCCTGGCCCGGTCCTTACGGAACTGCTCGGTGCCATCCGCAAAGCGCTCAGCATAGTACAGTGACAGGCCCCGTTGCCACAGTCTCGCCTGCAACATCCATTGGGCCCCAAAAATGGTAGCTTCCCTTTTTGTAGGGCCACACTGAGAAGATACCCTGAAAACAAAGCAACACCCATCCAGACGTGGTCTTGTGGACACCCCAACTTGCTCCAACAACATCCGCAGCCTGAGAGCTGGTGCTTGCCCTGAACATCATGCTTGAATCTTGTTGCTGGTTGCGACAAAGACCTTCAAAACACAGCTCACTTCCTGACTTGATTTACCAAACAAGGTCCAAACTTTTTTTCTGCCCAACAAAAATGGCCATGCCAAAATGCATCAAGTCCAAGAGCTCGTCGCCAGCCTTGGGGAACCCAGATTCAGCCGCTTCGTCGAACAGCTTCACGGAGTCTTCCACGCGGGCTTGCCGGAAAGCCTCCATTCCTGACTCATGATGCGTCTGGAAACTGGCGGCGAAGGTAAGCTTGTTTGGCCCCAAGCCTATCTGTGCAAATTGATGCATTTCTGCCCGCATCGCTCCGCCATTGCCCTAAGCCCATTCCCAACAGAAACACCTTCAAACCATACGCTCCCAGGGGAATCTAGTAGAAAACTATTCCACAAAGGATGGGTTCTTAGGGGGAGGGGGATCATTTTCGAACACCGATTTTGGATCATTTTCGAACACCGATGTCCTGGATCATTTTCGAACACAGAGTGGGTCATTTTCGAACACATGGGGGGGCTATCCTGCGGCACCCGTGGGGTGGGGGGGGGGTGGGGTGGGGCAGTTGCGCTCGCCTCTTACTGCGTGCCCGTGCCACTGCGCCCTGGGGCTGGGGGAAGGGGGCAACCAGGAGGCTCCGAGTCCCAAGTTACCTTGGCTTTTTGAGCTAAGATGTCCTCGGCGACTTGCGCTCGTTGGCCCCCGTAAAGCCGTGAAAGCTCGGTCTAACGGCCGTAATAACTCGCGCGGGAATCTGAAAGGCCGCTACTACTCCGTGAAAAAGCCGTGAAAACTCGTGAAATTTCAAGCTCTGAGTTCTCTTGTCCTCGCGACACAAAAAACATCCTTAGCTCATACGGCCTAAGTAACTTGCGAACCTGGAATTGCGATCGCCGCTTGCTGCGGGGCGGCGCAACTGCGTATTGGGGCTGGGGGGGGGGGGGGGTGGGGTGGGGCAGTTACGTTCGCTTCTTGCTGCGTGACCGTGCGACTGCGTCCTGAGGGGGGGGGGGATGGGGCGGGGCAGTTACGTTCGCCACTTACTGCGTGACCGTGCGACTGCGCGCTGGTGGTGATGGCGGTGTTGTTGGTAGCGATGATGACGATGTTGATGATGATGGTCATGATGATGATGATGATGATGATTATGTTGACCATTTTGATGATGATAATGATGATGATGTTGATGATGATGATGATGACGGTCATGATGTTGATGATGATGGTGATGATGTTAATGATGATGATATTGATGTTGCCGATGAGGATGTCGATGGCGATGACTTTGATGATGTCGATGATGGTAGTGATGTCGACGTTGATGTTGATAACGGTGATGATGTTGTTAATGATGATGATGATGGTGATGATGTTCATGTTGACGATGTTGATGATCATTTTGACGATGGTGATGTTGATGATGATGATGATGATAATGGTGATTATGATGGTGATGATGATGATGATGGTGATGATGGTGATGTTGACGGTGTTGTTGATGATGATGATATAGATGTTGGTGGTGATGTTGATGATGGTGATGATGATGTTGGTGTTGATGTTGATGATGTTGATGTTGTTGGTAGTGATGATGACGATGTTGATGATGATGGTAATGATGATGGTGGTGATGATGATGATGATGTTGACGACGATGATGATGATGATGGTGGTGATGATGATGATGATGATGTCGCTTTGCGTTCCTTGTGCTTTGTGCTCCCGGGTCTACAGTTGACGATTGTCTCCCAAAAGCACGGCGCCATCCATGTGCTACACGTGCATCGTGGTGCGTGTTCGTGCGCCTCATCGTGGTGTGCATGGACACTTGGAAAATGGCCGTGCTGCTGTAAATCACATACACTTGAGCAAAACCGCGTTCAAAAACGAGCCAAAACACGCGTTCAAAAACGAGCCAAAACACGCGTTCAAAAACGACCACCTTCCCGTTCTTAGGTTCCATGTTGATCTGCAGGGGAGTCATCTCAAGAGTCGCATCGATCGAATCGATTGGAACCTGACTTCCTGGATCCCCTGTTCCAAACAAGGGTTGTTCCCAAATGGAAGGGGATCCCCAAAGTCCGTAATCCGTGGGCAAGACAGCAAACAGGGGAAACCAGTACGACATGGCACAAGGATTAAGGACAAATGATTGAACAACCCGGCCAATGCACTGGGTCTGAATTTTGTGCGGGCACTTGAAACATCAGGATTTATGGTGACATCAAGCATTTGTTCAAGGTGTTCGCCCCTGCACTCAGCTTAGCTCAGATGCCATCTTGTAGCAGCAGAAACGGGTTGCCCTTTGCCTCCGCAGCCGCCGGCACTGCAGGAACCATCGCAAGCATCAAACGCCGAGGCCATCGGACAGCTCCTGCGAGCTGCTTTCGTTTTCAGCCAGGGAAGCACAAAGAAGGTGTCATATTTAGATATATTTAGTACATGTATGATATCATCCGCGCGCTCATACATGTATATCATGCTGTTTATATCATGCAAGTGTGTAATATATATATATATATATATATTCCATTAGTATTATTATGATTATTATTCTTAGTATTTTTCTTGTATGTGTGGTACAAGGAGGGCGAGTGCAAGTTCATAAAGCAAACTGTTGGAGACGACCTTTGGGATCCTTTACGTGGCCTGTTTTCGCCGATTTACGCGCAATCGGGCTGGTGGCACGCATTGTCTGCACAAATCTAAGCAACTTGAGTGGACACAGATATCCATATTAACATCCAAAAGGCGCTGAGCTCGAAGGATATACTGAAATCGGTTAGACGTTGCACCATGCTGAGTACAACTATACACACATAGTCTGCTACTCGGGGAAACATCAAGCTGAACGTACATCGACAAGTTGGAGTTCGGTTGGCTTTCGGACATCCACCTTCAGCAAGCGACTGTAACCAATACCAAGCTTGGAGCCAGCACTCCCCAATTCTGAACAATACTAAACCAAAGGTCAGTCGGAAAATCAAGTCTGACCGCTCTCCAATTGCAGATTTGGAAGGCGCTATCTGGCCCTGCACAAACGAAAACAACATTCAGAACTCCAAAGGGAACTTTTTGCTCAAAATCAGCGAGACGTGCGTCGGCACCGTGCAACGTCTTAACTCATAATAAATATGGTGCCCTTTCGCGGTCCAATCGCCGGCCTTTCGCAGCTCGAGTTTTACCAATCGCGCGGTTCAACAAGTTGCCGCTGTTCATAAAAATTAGACATGCAATTACGGACGGCCCCCATTTGGCGAGGTCACGGGGAGGGACGGGATGAAGGTCACCGCCACATTGAGGGCCAGTGCCCGCCCCTCACGCAACGAAACTCATCGAGGTGTCCCCCAAGTCAGCACCGTTTCAACGCAGCATGTGCGCAGCATGTGTGTTGTACCTATTGCATAGAACGCAGCTCAAGCAAGTGAAAACTCTCTTTGCATCCAAACTGCAGCCGGAAACTGCGAAGCATGATTCGGCATAGTAGCCCACGCCACATGCCCATCCTCTTCCCGCACTGCGGCGCAGCACGGACAGTACACGCCCGGGCACAGCAAAGGCTGCCCAGCCGGCCACAAGCGACAGCCCCGCTCGCGTCGCCTGCCGCCCTGACGCCGGCGCTGGTGGGGCGCGCAGCGCCGGCGCTTGGGCCAGGACCATCCCCACCAGCGGCGCCATGGTACGGATGGATTTGGCTCAGCTGAGCCAATGCAAGGTGCAATCAGACGAGTTGCGGGATGTTCTTTCGGGGTTTTGCTTGACGCTCAGTTGGACAGGGCCTGGTGCGGAAACCCTTAAAAGAATATCAAGCGCCTGCCCGATCTCACAAACGTCGAGGTTGGAGGAGTTTCGACATCTTAAGATGATTTAAGATGCACTAGCAAGAACAATTGGGTGTGTCTCAAAATGTCAATCCCCTTTTGGCTGGTTGCAATGGCAACCCAAGAGGAAACCGCGTCACTTTGAGGGTACCTAATTTTGAGACACGCTCTGCAGGTGAAGGCGTCCTTTTCCGGCTCCGCGACTGGCTCCTCTGTTCTCTGATCCTCGTTCCTGTCTTGCTCTTGCAGCATGAGTTCGAGGGCATCCTCAGCTCTCACCCTGGCATCGTCTTCTGCTTCGTGGTCCTCCCTTTCGCCTCGCCAAAACACGCATCGCCCTCTGCTACACACGGAAAGAAATGCCTCTGCGGTGAAACCTGAGACAACTTATTTCATTTGTGATATTTGCCCGGTGGATACAACTCGAACCTAAAGGCCTGCATGTCTGTTCACGCCTTGAAAATTGATCAGGGTACAGAGTCAAGTAAGCGCGACAACCCTGCAAATACGAGAGCAAAGCCATCTTCCAGCAACATAGCGTCCATCAAACAACACATCTCCTCTGAAACAAACCAGGCTTTCGCAATCTCGCCTTTTTCCCACGGTCTGGTCATTCGTAGCCTACATATGGTTGGAGGCATAGCAACTTGCAAAGGGGAACCTTAGGTAGAGCGTCCCTTGCGACCGATCACACGCAATACATGCTCCGGCGTGCAGCAATAGCATCCGGCGAAATCCTTGTTCAAACATGTTGACGCCTCCCTGAAAAGGGAACCAGGGGTTCAGTGTTTGAACAAATGGACATGTGTTAACTTGGGGGACCCCTAAAGTGATGGCTTTCCCTTTGGGTTCCCTCTAAACCAACCAAACGAGTACCCTCAAAAGTCAACAGACACAGTTTGGCCTTTGGGATCTCAGGAGCGCACGTGGCATCTCCTGCTTGCGCGGAGCTCGTGACTCCACGAAGTTCACGAAGAGCGGATCGTGGTACTGCACAACCTCGCGGGCACGGAGGCATTTTGATGGCACAAGATGGTCTCCCGTTGAATCACCGGGGTAAACATGAGGATGTCTTACTGTGTACCCAGCCGGGCTTCTTCACCCGTAAGAGTCTCAAAATTAGGAAGCCCGGCTGAAATCCAACATTCGAGATGGATTGCACAAAGGTCACTTGGAGAGCAATCCCACACATGGATGGCGGTAACAGCTAGGCTTCGGGGCCCAAAGGGTCACCTCTCTGTTCGAAGGCGCACTAAAAAAGCGACCCACTTTCTGGGGTTCCCAATTTTGGGATTTTGGGGGCCCCCGAAGTTGCCAAGGCTCCTGCAAGCTGGCGTTTCTCCAATTCCCTCCAACAAACATGGAAGTGCACAGACTTTATTTCCAAAAAAAAGTCTTCCAAAAGAGGTCTGCCCACTTCTATGATTGTTGCTGGGGGGCGTATCTTTCAACTGCATCTTGTTGACTATAATGTCTTCTTCGGACGAATCTGGAGGACAGTACCCAGGTGCAGTTGCAGTAGGTTAAGCTTCCACGTTTGGTGGAAAGTCGATTCATTCTGTGGTCATTCTTCTTATACTGGTTTGCTTCAGGACAATCCAAAGTCAAAGTTGAGTCGTGCCCTTGCTATCACAGGTATCTCTTAGATCCTGGCTCCCGTTGGGGTTCAAAGCATCGCTAGTGAATAGCCCAGCAGCTCTCAGTCTGACCTTGACCTGGAAGTCGCTTTTGCCCCGGCGCTTCAGCCGCTGGAATTCTCGCAGCGCCCAAAGTCGCCGGTTGTTCCGACCTGAGACGCAAGAAAGGGGCCCATTTGGCCGCGGCTTGTTGGCTTATTTCAAAGGGGGACAGTCACCGCCTCTGTGTGCTGCATCTAAATTCTTAACCCCCTCCCCCGACCCCACACAAATAACAAAAATCCAGCGAGCAACATGGGGGAGTTCCCAGAGCTGATGCCATCAGTTCGTCTTTTGGGAGCCGCGCACTGGTTCGTGGCTCCGATCCGACGATCGGCGCCAAACTGAAAGACACATGCTGGTTCGGCGCTGGCCCCCGAAAAGCGCCGAGGCCCTTCGAGCTGAGGCAGGGGCAAATGATGCGCTGCCCGACCCTCACAGCATTCAAGATCATGAAGCTGTCCCTGTCAGGCTTTACCTGCGAAGTCCGAGGCTCGGTGTTTTCGACTATTTCGACTGTTTCGACTGTCCTGTTTTGATGCAGGGCAACAAACGCAACATCTGACCTCAATGCAAGCATTTCAGTGTGTTTGAGTGTTTTGAGTGTTGCTGCTCGCTCTCAAACTACAAACTAAAAGGGCCAAACCCCAAACTTAACACGACTGGCTGGGGTCAGGGCTACAAATCCCAAACCCTCTGACAGAAAATGATGGTATTTGAAAAATACCCGCTTTGGGACTGCATCAATCATTTCCTGCCCAGCGGACACATGGGCATCTGAAACATCTGCCAACAAGGACCATGCAAGAGCAAGGCCCTCGCAGACCAGTGACCACTTGCATTTCAGACTCACATGCCCGCAGGAACCCTATCTGCCACTCACCTGGCAAATGGACTATCGCAAAGACCTTGGTCAAGGAAACGTACGTCCGTACGCAAGGCCCCGGCTCAAACAGCTTGACGAGACTTGCTGTCTCCGGCAATGCAATTGTTGTTGGTGAGCGTGCCCAATGTCAACCCCACTACATGAGGGCGAATTCTGACCGTTGCCTTTGCGCCTGAGAGTCTCATGACTAACCGCCCCCGCTCGCTCTTCCGCCTCTCCGCATAGAAGTTCGCTCACCGTGTGTCGGATTTCCCGGCCACATCTGAAGCGCCGCCCGATGGAGTCTTGGCTGAACTCCACCTGCATGGCGACGGCCCTTTCCAGGATCCTTCTTTCCGAACCACAAAAAGCGCGCCAAACATCCTGGTGCTTGAACAGAACGATGCTGGAAGGAAATGAGGAATCAAGACCCACGAGGGACACGGAAACGGTGTTCATTGACAATGTGAGTGTCCTGTTAGACTTGGTTACATCAACAGGATTTGAGCCGGAGTAGGCAGAAGAAGTACGAAACAAAAACCTTGGGAATTAACTCGGACTCAGTTGTAAACCGATCATTGATGGCTTATTATGTGATTAGAAAACCACATGAGTCAAACGGACACACTTCCGTGACAGCTCTCAACCAAGCTCCAATGCTTTTGCGAATCGCCTCGTCCACGGGAAACTCTGTCTCTGTCGGCCTGCGGACAAAGACTGCAGAACGGATGCTGAAACATGGAAACACTGAAGCTGGGTCTTGCAATCACAAATAGAGTGGTGCAAAGAACAGAAGCAGCAACATCAACAGATATCAACAGATATCAACAGATATCAACAGATATCAACAGTAAGAGCAACAACCACGGCAACAACCATATTCTAATTTGCTCCGGGCATCGTACATCAACTGGACGCAGCCCCATACGGGATTTCCAGAAGCTGAGACCGTAAAGCTTGACATTCCTGACCTGATCCACGGTCCATATTAATTTTCCCCCCCGATGAGCTTGAAGTTAATGAGTGACCTCCGTTGTCTGGTGCTAACTTGCTGCGTAGCCTAGTTCGACCGATGTGGATGTCTCTAATTCGGACTAATAATAGAAATCCGCGAAATGGGTCGCTTCCCTTTGGGTTCCGGTATCCTGACAGAAGACACAGCCCGGCAATCAATGTATGAAACCCGAAGAAGTACCTCGTCCCCTGGGTCCCAGCAGCAACTTTTATGCCCACATGGTCAGAGAGGCAGCCACTTTCTGCGATACCTTTGGGGAATTGACAAGTTATCTGCTCAGAGTCCCACTTGATGTCTGGCCAAACTTCCCCATCTTGTTTGACCCTCTGATTTCCCCCACACGTTTCTCATTAAAAACAAGGAGGCTTGGGTTTGGACCATCTCCGAAAAATCCGATTTGGGGGGACTTCCAGAGCTTACGTTGGACCAGTCTCTAAATGCGGGACCCCCTCAGATATGAAGGTCCGTCCAAATTTGCTGTTCACAGTAAGTGCGTTCGAATTTTGAGAGTCCCCTATCGCTTTCCATGGTTTCAAGCACCTGGAGCTATATTAATGTCCAAGTGTAGACTACTTTCCTTTTCCGTAAATTCTGACCGCGCTTCATACGTGATTTCCCTTTGCTTTTCCATTGCAAACAGCCTTAGCGGGTACCCTCAACAAGGGCATGCGCACACACAAAACAGCAAAAACCAAACATGTCAACATATACAGTATATACATGCCCCTCATAAAACCCTCAGACCAGTCTTCACTCGCATCACCCAACCTGCCACGGGAGCGGGATCGCTCGGACCTGGCGGGCTCGATCTTGCTTGGGGGCTGGGGGGGGGTGTCTGGACAGCCAAAGGGAAAGCAAAGGAACACCTCTGCTTTGAGAATCGGAGACCCCATCTGCTTCCCGAGCAGCAGGCTCCTTGTTGATGAAGGCTTTCAATTTCGGGAAGTGCCCATTTGAAGCTGGCTTGCAGAACGATCATCCTTTGAAAGCCGGTGCTGAGATACTGAGAAGGGCATCACCTCCAACTTCTTCCTTGTCCAATCGCTGCCGAACTCCAAAGGATACAACACAAAGCCCCAAGGCACCTGAGTCAAACAAACCATCCAACCCACATCTGCCTTGTCCCTTGCAGAGTGTCGTTCCTGCAGACTAGCCTTCAGGCCTCTAGAAACGCAATGTTGCGCTCCCCGACCGAAATCTCCGCCCCTCTCTCAGCCTTTGCTTCGGAGACGAGTGCCTCAATTCAAGCCTCGACAAACGAAAGGCGCGTCCTAAACCTGAAAGTACACGTTGCACATGGAAACCCCACGTTTGAGGGGTCTTGTTGTGGAAACGCCCAAAGGCGTGTTTCAGCTAAACGGAGAATGATCCCCGGCAGCTGATTGGGTTTTGGGTCTTGAACGACTTCCAAGTCTTTAGCAATTCATGGCATGAACATCGGCCGGGCCAAGGGTCCGCATAGCTCCCCAAATCGATGCAGAATCACTTCAGGCTGTTTGGGCCCAATTGGCTGTGGCTCAAAAACATGCACAAAAATGAGGCCTTGGTAATAGAACCAAAGACTAAGCTCTCTAAATTTGAGCCACACCCAACTGGGTGTTTCAAAAGAATGATTCACCTCATGACAGGTGGCTGCCCACAGACTTCCAAGGGAGCGTTTGTAGCTTACAATCATCACACCGCCAAAGGTCAGCATTCCCCAAATTGAACTCGACCCGGAATTCGCAGGGCTCTGGGCCCCGGGATATACCTCAAACAAAAGGTTGCTCAATATGTGGCCAATTCTGGGACCCGGTGACATTGCCAATCATCCTTTCGGGCCCATGGGTCGCGATGCTCTCAACCGTGCAAACGCAACCAGAATCAAGCCTGCGCATACGGTCTGACATACTGCTCTCAACTTTCTGCACCGTTCCGCCCAGGTCGAATGATTTGGCTGCAAAGCAATCGCAGGCACAGTAACCAGCCGCGTGGAGGATTCCCGCTTGTTTGGGGCACATGCCCTTTTGGGTGAGACTAATCACTCGGGGACCGCTTTTGGATGCTCCACGTGAATTCGCACGGAAACTGTCCATCGATAGAGTCTCCTAGGTCGGGACACACCTCGTTTCCAGTATCATTGCCCAAGCGCCACACTTTGCTGGCACCACTTTGCGCCTCCGCGAGGCGGAAGCCAGCAACCCCGGATGTTGCGTTGAAGGGAACCATGGAACCACCAAGTTGGGGTGTTCATGTCAAAAGCCAAGCGCCCAAAGCCCATGGACCACGGCCTTCCGGCCTTCCAAAAAATCCCAGCGCAAGTCTGAGCTATTGCCCGGCAAGAAGGTTCTAAGATATTCTAAGTACCAAGTCCAAACTCCGGGACCCCGTGGACCCCGTGGACCCATTTATGTTTGGTACACGGGCAACTTGGTAACCGACAATCAGTGTAGGAGGTCCCAGGTCGAGGGATGACATTGAGTATTGAGATTTGTTCGATGGCTGGAATACACGTTGTTGCAGCCGTAGACATCAAAATCGTGGCATTTTGACGTGTTTAATGTCTTCATGTACCGAATCATCCTGTTATGTACATGGTGTGCCGGCTCGTCCCAGGAGATGCAGCCACCTCTAGCGACGAAATCAAGTATTGCCCCTTGTTCTATGGCTGGAATACACGTTGTTGCAGCCGTAGATATCCAAATCGTGGCAATTCGACGTTACTGGCTTGACAAGCTCCTGTGGGATCCTCGAGCCTTTGCACACTACATTCCTAATATCGGCCTTTTCTTACAATGTTCGGCAATGTTGGTAAAAAAAAAAGCTTGTGATCGAACTTCACTCGTGGAAACTCAAGCACAGTTCAAGCATCAAGACCCAGTGAGCGGAGAAAAGCCTTTCCATGTTAGTTGTTGTAACTTGCACATGTTGTTTGCTCAGTACTGTACATGTACTGCTTTATACAGTACAGTCAATCCTGTACCATACTGTTTGGGGCGAGAAATTAGTACAACACAGAATCAAACAAAACGATTGGCTCAAATTGGTTCCTCCCTTTTTCCGTTGACACAATCAGGGCCAAATATCATCAACTTCGAATGATAGGTTATACATAACTGATTCTTTGTTATGAGCTCAGAACAACTCCATGGAATGAAGTGATGCATGAAAGTATTAAGCTTTGAACCTGGGCATTGACGAGGCATGTCAGCCTTGAAGGGTCGACGAAAAGAGCGCAAGTCTGCGGAATTTCTGGCGTTGGCGAAGCTAGCAACGGGCTTTGAAGCAAGCCAAAGCTAAGTGCATTGGACGCTTCGCGCGACCCCCCGAAGTTTGAAGTGAGATCTTTCGAGACCTCCCCGAACCGGGATCATCATTTCGCGGGCTTCCTCGAGGAAAAGTCTTCAAATCTTTGCTCGAAGTTTCCAGCTGAAGAACCTTTTTGCCGTGAAGCTCCTCATAAAGACCCCCTGTCATAAGGGCGAGATGACGAAAATCGGTTCGGCCCCAATTGGAACTTTCGCGGGGCTTCCGGATTGCAAACTTAAAAGCACAACCTGAAGTATATATTCGTGCAAAAGCCCGGTATCCAAAAACGCGCTAGATTGTGGCAACGGGCATCCGCCGCACTTCCGCGGGGCTTCCGTGATTGGAACCCTGCGCCTCTGCCCGACAAGATGTAGCGCAAAGCGAGAACAATCACTGGGGGGCGATTGCTCTAATGTTGGATCTTGATTCACAAAGGGCCCCGCCAAAGCGATGGATGTACCAGTGAAGGCAAAAAAGACATGGGACGCCAAAACAATGGAGGACCCGGAGGGGGCCAATACTGCTTTAGTCTCACAGCCACTTCTTCCTGAGCAGATCTGTTGGAATACTACTTTGGTCTTGCAACTTGCAACCACGTCTTGCTGAGCAGATCTTTCGGACGCAGCTTGCTGGGGCAGGGCACTATTCTAGTCTACTGAAACAATGGGCCTTCTTCTCGTTTTTGTTCTGTCGAATAAGTCCCCAGTTGTTTTTCTCGGGGGGAAACAATTACAAATCACAATCACAAAGTATGATGAAACAAAAGTCAACCAATCGACCCAAAACCAGGTTTGGACAATACCAATTTCTGCTTTCACTTGCAAAGCACTGCAAACAATGGCCCTTGAAGGCTGCAGTTCCTACCAAACTCAGCTTCAACTGCTTCATATCTAGCTCCAAACTTTGTCAGTCACAGAATCAAAACCAGCTGTGGCCCCTGAAATCTCAGAAACACCCCCAGCTCTGAGAATGCAAATTCTTTACTGAACCTTGTCTAAAAAAATGCAAAACCACAATCTGGGCAAGGGGGAACCACAATAAAAGGACAAAAACTGGGGGGAAATGTTTTGGCCCACATTACTATTCAAGTGCTAACATTAGATCTGAGCTGCCACCTGCATGTGCCACTTCCGGGCCCAATTGAAAGTATGTCAAGTCCACAGACCAAACTTGCCAACCAGCCCATTTCAAGAAACAACTATGAAACATCCGGCTATTCCAACCGGGCCTTGTGTGCTGCTCCCCTGTCTGCGCTAAAGCAACATTGCCATCAGTCGGCAAGATGAAAAAGGGATGTGTTGCTTGCTCAAAGTCCTTTCACGGCAACTGAATGATCTATCCCATGACGATGCAAGTACTGGTCATCTCCACAAGCCTAGTTGGAAAGGTACTGCAATCCAAATGTCCGAAACTCAGGTGAGCCGGCAGCTTGCGCCCCCCGCCCGGCTGACCCCGGTCCGCCTGTCGGTCAGGTCCAGCAAGGCGGCCATGGGCGTGGGCAAAAACACGCCCATCTCCGTGGCCGCCTGGGCCAATTGAGCCGAACGACCGTCACATGGCTGTGGGTCAAAAATAGGTACCCAAAATGGCACCCTGGCAAATGGAAACATGGACGGAAACCTGCGGTCACCCGTACCCAAATTGCACTCAGTAAAACTCCAAGGAGTGTTGCTGTTGGGCTGGCTGTACCCCACACTCGGGTGCTGGAACAGCAAAGACACGCCCCCTGCCGAGTGTGACACTGGTAGAACAAGGGAAGCCTCTTCGGGGTTGACCAGGTTTTGTGGGGAACCCACCAAACAAAAAGGGGGGTGTCTCCTGGGGGTGGTTTTCGGCTCTGTTTCCCTCGAAAGATGGCTACCCCAAAAAGGACAGCCCTCAAAAGGGATCAGAGGCCATCAGCCAGGCTCAACCAACCGGCGAAAGCTTCAGCCTTGCGGAGAAAGAGCTGGTCGCGGAACATGTCCTCCACGGCCAGAACCTGACACTCGAGCCGACGAAAGCCGGGTTTAGGTTTGGCAAAGACCGACCCAACACAGATCCAGCAAACTAAGGGGGCAAGCCAAACATGCCGGAACACATATCCGACAAACAACATGAAATGGCCCATGTAACAAGATCCACCCAAAAAAGAAGCCACTCAAACTGCCAACAACAAGCATCACCCACAAACAAACGTCAAACAGAATCAACAAACATCGATCAAGTCTGCCAAACAACGGGGAACTTTGACAACAATCATCCAGAAACCAGAATAAACACGCTCCATGTGGAGGAACCCCTCCTTTTGAGACACCTCCATCAATTTCGGAGCATGTCTGGATTGCCAGTTGAAGGTTTCGTGATCGGATGCTGTGAGCCTGTCGTTACTCACGCCGGGCGTGACAAAGTTAGCTGCCAAACTAACAGCAAACTACTGGGCATTGTGATGCAGGTTCATTGAACCTGGATGAGCTGTAATTCACCAATCGGGGGGACAAGAATGAGCCCTATGAAGGAAGCCCTCATGAGTGGGATCGCGGAATACCCCTGATGTTGCTATGATTTGCCCAAATGCATCCCTTGCGAAACCCAAAAAGACTAAAGCCTGTATCCCCTTCTTCCCGCAAAGTTGTCGTCCCCCTCCCGGCCCATGCTGAGATCGGTGCCGTGCACCACATCTCAATGTTAATCTTCTTCTTCATGATGTCGCTCAGCCTTGGCCCCGAAGGCGCAGCTAGCTACACGTGGCTTCAACACGAAACGGGAACTGCGTGACTTTGTCTTCTCTTGGAGAGCTTTCTACAAGAAACAGCATGAAGCCAACTCTTCTGGGTCCTTCTGGGTCCTCACCTTGAGCTTTCGGCACATGCTTTCCCGACCTACATGGACAAGGGCACTGCTGCTTGCCGTCACCCCAGTGGATCTGCGAAAGCCCTTCCAAAGACTGCTTGAAGGCCATCGACAAGAAACCCCAAACAACAGAGGCTCCACCATGTGCAGCCCATGCCTTTCCCAGTCCACATGCATGCAACGTAATCAAACCCCCCGCGGAACGCTACCGCACCAAGTTTATCCTTAAAAAGAAACCTGCCAAACTCATCATGCGCATCAAAATTCCAATTGTTTTTCTTCCACAGAACCAATGCCTCAAATACCGTGGAAACCAGACACCTGCTTGGCAGCAGGAACGGAACACACCCAACTTCCAGCTCCACGGCTCACCCGTGCCACCTGCATGCTACGCCCCGCTCCTGAGGTGTTGCCTCCGGTAGATCTCCCTCACCTGGGCGTTGTGCCCTCAAAACTCCGCAGGGTTCTGGTCATGGCGAACCGTGCGAACCCTCAGAGGAGAACAAGGAGGTTGATGGCAAAAGGGTGCACGCACATACATTCACAATGGTCGTTTCTTTGTAGGTGTCGAGCTGCGCTTTTGTCAACTGTATCGTTCCTGATTGTGTTGTGTATGGATTCCTTGGTGCTGGTGCTGTTCGTCCTACTAGTCCTATTTCAACCAGTACAGTAGTAAGCCAGGAAGGGCTCAATGATAGAAATCCGCTGTTGACCATGCCGTTCTTGAAGGTGTTGGCATCGTTCGGTTGCCAGTGCCAGCCCATGTCCTGCATAGACTACTTTACAACGCAGACTTTTCGACGCGGGATTGGACGCTTTGGTGGACATCATTCAGCTTGGGATTGATGTCCGCCAACAATGCTTGAAGATGCTTCTTCCCTTTAATCACTGCGTAAGTTGTGGGTGGGGTGGGGATTGCATCTGGGCACCGCCCTCACATGGAACAAATGCAACACCTCTCCTTCGTCGGTCAAAACCACGCTCGAACCTGGCCTGCTGTAGCAGGACGTAGATGTGAGCCTCGGAGAAGAAGGCTACGAGTGAGATTGGGTTGCAATAATTATTGCAAACTCGGGCTTTTAACTAAGTAGCATCAAAATAGTATCACGTTGTGTTCAAACTGAACTTTCTTCGTTCGAAAGCGTGTCATCGACTTGAAGCTGGTTCACTTCAGAAGGGTGCACTGGTGGTGCAAAAGCCATGTCTATGTGAACAAACTTTTGATTGGTGTGTAAAACTATGGGAGGGTGCCTACCTGAGCCTACGCCACAACAAGCGCCCACGCCGAGTGCGTATGCAGACTTTTGTCGGGTGCCACTGTGAAGTTTGTGTAGTGCAAAACATGCCACCCGAACTTGCCTACGCAGGATTGTCTTGAACAGGCTACGCGGACTGCCTACGATCGTTTTATCCACCAGAGTTGCCTCCGCAGTACCTCTGCGGCAAAAAGAGAGTTCCCCCCGAATACTAAACGAAATCATTGCCAAAAAGGCTCTGCTCATGGATGTGTATATAGAATAATGTCCCTCTGCCAGATCCGCCACCAAGTCCAAGGGAACCAACAATTTGCCGCCAAACTCAAACCTTTAAAAATGCATGATTGCAGCAAGCAAGCCAGATCAAGGCAGCAGTCGTTATAATGTGCTGGCAGAAAGAGGCTGGCATGAGGCTGGCAAAAAGGGCAAACGATACACTAAAAAAGAAGAATCACAATGTTGCTGGCTAAGCATCAAACACATGCTAGCTAGTGCGGAAACCAAACAAATCGTTGCGCCTGGCCTGGGCATCATTTGCTTCGCCTCACTTTGATATGACATGGTATGCTACAAGTTGCATTGCCAATGGCGTAACTCATGTCTCAAGGTATGAAGTTTCTGCGTGCACAAACCTGAATGAGCTAAGAATGCTTGCTCGGGGCTAGCCGGAAGCCGCGAAATGATCGATTTTGCTTTGGTTTCCCTTTCAAAACCAACCAGACAGGGTTTCCCAAAAAGAGGCACACCCATAGATGACACAACAACAATCTACACAACAATAACAAAGAACTGGACTACATCGCTCAATCCTGTATAACTTTCTAGACATATCTCGTCTTCAGCAACCAGCATGTGTTGACAAATGCCATGAACAAAGGAATACTCACCCTGGTCGCCAACTTGTTTTGACCCCTAACCGCAAAACTGTAATTTAGGACAAGCGTGTGCCTCCCAGCATTGTTTTGAAGGCTCTTCCCATCCAAGGCTTGCCCAACATGCGAAGAATGCGACACCCTCCGGGCAATCCCAAATGATCGGCATCCCTCTACTCCAAGAACCTTTTATTTTAAAGGTTCTCGAAAATAACCGGGTTCTTCGCAGGAAAACCCGGTTTTATGAAAAGCATACAAACGTACGGGTTTTGTATGCCTGCAGCACCTTTTGATGTTGAAAATGATCGTTTCCAGCTAAAATGATTATTTTTGCATAGTGGTGTTGAAATTCCAACACTGGTTCTCTAAAGACCGTTCGGCTGCTTATGGCGGCAGTGGCGCTTCCGAGAATTCTTTGGTTGAGAAGTGTGCAGCCTCACAGCCGCACTTTTGGTTTATATGGCACAGGCTCAGCAAGGAAAAACATCGCAAGCGGGACGATAAGCTACTACAATCAGGCGTGCTTGCCAATCAGGGCATGAAGAACACTACCCAGGCATGTTCACGATATCCAGCAGGATGAAACGTGCGCAACACAGCCATGGCTATATACATCCGTTTGCAGCCAGCAAGTGATAGGTTTTCATGCAGTGACTGGTGCTGAGCTCATGGTTGTGACCATCATGGGAGATGGTCGTGCATGGCACGTGGAGACGCTATGGCCCGCCTGGCCTGTTAGCCTGAACGCTTGCTTTGATGCGTGCGTGATCGAAGTTGCCGCCACCTGATGTGTTTTTAACCCTATAGCCACGCGTTGCTCAAGCGGTGCGTTTGCCCTTGGATCTTGGCGGCAGCTCGCTTCAGGACATGGACTTGGTGGTTGGGGGGTTTGACCTTGCGGGGGTGGCTGAGGAATGGGACAACACCTTTGAACTAAGAGAGCGGGTGAGAGTCTACAAACACATTGTCCTGAAGAGAAGCTCTGAGAAGTCTGCGTTGGAGGTGGGCTTCGTCCAGAAGACTATTCCGAATCTCAAGGCAAACGCCATGGTCCTACTTCCTGCTTTGCAAATTATGAGCAGAAACAACAAGAAGATCCCAGGAATTGATGAAGTCCTTCAAGAAGTTCAAAAACTTTCTGAACTATGCGGGATGGAGTGGACCAATAACCAAATGTATGAGGAAGCTTGGGCAATCCGGCGGCTGCTTACATTTGTGAAGTCACTCACATACAAGAAGTCGATGCCGAAGGAGACCATTTGACAACCAGCACAGCAATTGCTATTTTCTTTGAACCGTGTTAAAATTGCAACATCGCTATACCAAAATGGCCATGTTCCTTGGAAACAATCATTTTCAACATCAAAATGGTGCTGCAGGATCTAGACTCGTTCAGCCGTGCAAGGCCCCGAATCAACCCCAATCGCCCTGGCTGCAGTCAGCCGCTTTTTCCCCGTCAGGATCACACGCTACGGGTTCTTCTGGTTTGCCTGGGCCACATCTTGGAGGAGCAGAGTGTGTGTGTGTGTGTGCACCTGTGAGAGCCTCATGGTTTCAGTTGGCCCTTCCCTATATAGTCAATTTGAGTTAAAGGGTATGAACATCCATGCTTCCTTCTGTTGAGCACATTATTCGCGATACCAGGGGTCGTGCGGCTGTATGGGTGGAGGGTGAAAAGCAAGGCTCCTATCTCTCGATCTCTTTCTCTCTCTCTCTCTTTCTCTCTCTCTCTCTCTCTCTGGTCCCTTTTTTTCTTAGTCGGTTTTTCCTTCTATACCTTTGTTTCCTTTCCTTTATCGACCATTCTTTCTGTTTCTCTTGGCTGACTTTCTCTCGTTCTTTATGTATAGTTATGTCTTTCTTTCTTTCTTTCTTTTTATCTATCTTTCTTTTTTTCTGTCTTTCTTTCTTTCTTTCTTTCTTTCTTTCTTTTTCTTTATATTTCGTGTTTTTTTTGTTTCTGTCCTTGTTGGTTGCTTAGTCTCATTCTTATTTTTCCTGTTTATTCACTTCTCTCTTTCTCTCCTTCGCTCCTTGTCTCCATCCCTTTGTCTTAAGTAGCTATTTGGGCAAGGGTTGTCTTGTTCAAGCACATGACACATGCAGCTTTCTTTCTGGAGGAGGAAGAGGAAGCACCGAAAAGCGACATGGACACCCACAAGGCTTTGCCGCTGGACACGGATCACAAGAAGGAGGTGGGAACATCATCCTCAAGCTTGGACCCGGCAAATGGCAAGGCCCCAGACACATGTCAGGTTCCTGCGCCCTCCCCAGAAGTCTTGAGGCAACGGGATGCCTACTGGGCTCGCTTCAAAACTGGTCAACGATCTCAATCAGAAGTTGGCTGTGAAGCAAACCCGGGCGGGGATTCCTTAGTGGTGGCCGAGGAGGAGACCCCCCCGCTTGAGGAGGCACGACGCAAAGCCTGGAGCCCACCCTCACCCTTCAGGAAGAAGAATTGCCACCCTTGGAAGCACTTTCGCTTGAGGATGACAAGCAACCCTTGCCTGAGAAGGTGTCTGAAGTTTGCGAACCAGGAGAAAAGACTGGTTTTGATGAGGCGCCTTGTTTCAAATTTGACCTGTTTGCTCCCCAGCGCGGTTGTCGTCATTTTGGTGGTTCCCTGGTAAATCCACCAAATATAATATACGGTTTTGCGGTAGCAATAGTTTCACATCGTGGGTTCCATGGCGACCTTTGATGACTTTGGTCAGTCCAATGCCAGGTCCTTTTGCTTGAGCCATAATTTCACATGGGGTCCCACTAAAGCCTCTGATGGCTTTGGTCAATCTCACGCAAACCCTTACAATATAGGTGTGTGTGTGTGCGCAACAAAATCCTTTGACTCTCGTCGAAACCTTCGATGGTTATCTTAATTGTTGATGGTTTGGCAGAAGCCTCAACACACACACACAACCAAAAGTGCATTCAAAATCGGATCGAGCTTCCCTCCCGAATCTGCGAGAAATCAAAACAGGCTTTTAAACTTCATGAGTTCCCTGCAGGAATTCGAGCAAAGGAAAGCGGTGCTGGGGGATGAACCTGAAGCCCTCACCGCCGAGCCTGCACTGACTGCAGATGATGAGATCGAGGTCGTGGGCGACACCAGGCCTGAGGAGCTCTCGCTGCAGCAGCTGCAGCAACGCTTGCTCCGTCGGACACAGCAGTTGGAGTGCTTAGGTTTGTGATTGGCATACGTTGGTTGGCTGTGATTTTGCTATATGGCAACAAGCTGGTTGCTTCCAATCGTTTTCCAGTTGTTTTGTTCTTTTTTGTTAACGTTATACAAAAAGGGGGCACAGGTGTAATCCCACTTGAAGCTTTTTATCCTGCTTGGCCAGCACCCCGAACTTCGAACTTAGGCGTGTGAACTCAACACTGTCCAGATCCAGATCTTCAATGTCCCTAGGGAAACCTGCAGAGCAACCTGATTGTGCCTTGGCGTGTTTTGTTTACCGAATTGTTTTTAAAGGACAACAAAACCACATCTTCATACCCGTCGAACACGTGCGATGTTAAGCTTTGCGTTTGCGGCCCGTCGTGCGCACGTGCAGGCATCTACGTCGACGAGTCCCAGCCGTACGCCATGGACAATGCTGAGACCCAACCTGTCCTGGACCCATCATTTTTAGTCAGCTCTGCCTCCACACTCAACGTTGTCGCCAAGGAGAAAGCTGGCTTTGTGGAAACAAAGGACTGGTTGGGGTGGGCTCGCGTGCAAAGACTGAGAACTGCTCAACTTAAACAAAAGCATGCCTGACCCGCATGAAAACCCATTAGCTGCAGCAAATGGGATGACACAGGTTTCTGTGGTCGAATCTCTAAAATAGGAACGCGGGGTTGCTCACCAAAACCCATGCAATGCCAATTGTGGACGCCTGGTTGAAACACC